AGCTCACAGTCCCAACATACACACACAATTGTGCCTGATAGGCCAAGGAAACAAAACATCTTCACTTTGGATAAATAATCTCTATATTTGTCCTGGTTTAGGGCAAATTTGGGAGAAAACTTCCAAAGGGGCCCCTCCAGAAAGCAAACCTACGCAGCTCTTTCCCTCAGCTGGTTTGGGAAGGATTCCTTGGAGAGAAGTGGAAAGAACCTGTTTATTTAACAGGCACAGCACCCCCAGCACACAGAATGAACAATATCAGATGACACCACTCTGTCACCACTCTGAAAAAGATGACAAATTCAGAAAGTCTCTCTTGGGGGTGGTCGCTCTGTTATCAGTCTGTCCTGTGCTGGGGCAGCTGCTGCAGCCACAAGGTGCAAACTCTTGGTGTTCCCCAGGTCCCAGTCTGGAGCAGGCTCGAGTGGTTCCAAAAAAGGGAAAGGAGAAACAGCCCAGGGAAAACTTGGATTGCTTAGCTAAACTAACTAATGAGCAGAAGCAAAAAGCAGGAGCAAAGCAGAAATAAGAGCAAGAGCAAAGCAAAAGCAGCACCATGTACTGCCCTGTCTCTGTGTCCTGCCAGCCATGGGGGAGCAGCTGATAACTAAACAAAACAAAACCTTCACTCTTCAGAGCCAGTCTTTAAAGCACAGAACATGATATTCAGCATAAACAGAAGAGATACAACATCATAACATCACCCTAGGACAATATTGTATTCTACTTGGGCACAACACAGGCACAGCAAGTGATAAGAATTGTGTTTTTCCTTTCTCTGAGGTTCAGAGAATGAGAATCTCAGAAATTCTTGGGAAGAATTGTGCCTCGCTTTTCTCGCTGAAGGGAAACGTGGCAACAAAGCAATGCCTCCATCTGCTGGAGAAACGAGCCCTGGGTCGCTCCAGCCTGGAATTCCAGCTCCCAAAAACTCCCTGGGGTGTTGGGGGGCTCCCATTCCCTCCCCACCACACACAGGGGGTGGCCCTGATTGCCAAATTAACCGTGACGCTGCAGCCCCCACGAGAGAGATCTGACGTGAGAGGAAGGAGGAAATTGAGGTTTTTCTCTCATTTCCTGCTTCAAGATGAGTTTCGTGGCACAGGGAGGTGAAGGGTGGAGGTTACAGCCCCTGCCTGTGCCCGAGGGTGTGGGAGGCAGGACTGAACCCCCTGCTCCTTTTGGGGGGATGGTGCAGGATGGAGATGCTGAGAGAGCCCCCGGGTGGGTTCAGTGCCTCAGGGATCAGCCCTGAGCTGGGCTGGGAGAATCTCCACAGCACCCTCGGGCTGCTGAACAATGTCATGGCCAAAAAAACAGCAAAAAGAATAAAGACAATTAGAAAAATGCCATTTTCCAGCAGCTGCGATTAAAGATCCTATCTCCCACTGGGAAGAGAAATCAATTTCCTTACAAAGCAAAAAGGCTGGAGCTAAGAAAAGCTTCCCTGCATCAGTCCCAAAATCCAGGGGGAAAAGGGCTCAGCAGCTCCTGGACCAGAATCTGCAAATGCTGTCAGTGCCATCAGTGCCACCAGGGCCGTGTCCTGCAGCTGATTTATCCACCTGGAACATGCAGCAGAACCCACCAAAGGATTCACGGATGCTCCACTAAATCAGAATTTTGCACAGTCGTGCAGAGGTTGGCAACAGGAAACAAGCATCCTTGTTAAAGGCTTGGGTGGCTTTTAAACTTGGCAAAAACTTGGCTGGAGTAAGACAAATGAGGAATTTCACATCTAAAAGGCAATTCCTGGCTGCCCTTTCCCTGGCCACCTCTCTCTAGCTTGGCAGGGTCACAGGATGGCAGGNCATCCATCTATCCATCCATCCCCCATCCATCCATCCATCCATCCATCCATCCATCCATCCATCCATCCATCAATCATCCATATCCATCCCTATCCATCCATCCATGTCCATCCCTCCCTGCCATGGGTCTGTCTGTCCCCGTGACCCCTCATGCCCGGTGCCCCTCACCCCCAGCCGTGCATGCCGTGTCCTCCCAGGGTCCTGTTTGGTGTCTGGGGATTTTTTATCCTTGGGGAGGGTGTGGGAGGGGTGTGGGAGGGGTGTGGGAGGGCAGGGAGGGGGTCAGGCATGGACCCTCACAGTGGGAGCAAAGGGCAGTGCAGACCTGGCACAGTTTTCTATGTAACGAGCATGTCAGATGTATTTGTGAGCAAAACAAAAAAAAAAAAAAAAGGTAAAAAAGGGACTTTTGTGGCTCATTTGGGTTTTTCTCCCCCTTTTCTTCCCCATGTGCCTCAATAAGAACAGGCAAAATCAGTGGGCAGAGCCTGAGCAGGAGCTGGCAAGGGCAGGAGAACCAGAATTCACAGCTCTGAGCTCTCCAGACCTGCTGCAAGCTGGGAAGGCCTTGGAATTCCAGCAGACCTTCCCCCCTTCCCAGAGTTCTGCTGGGATTTGCAGCCCCTGAGTCCATTCCCACCATCAGTCCCACAAACCCCACATAAACAATGTGAAACCACCTCCCAGAGGGTACCAAAGTCTATATTAATAACTAATAAATGATTAATGCACATGTGCTAACAACCTGCTGCTGCTATTAA